GGACAGGGACAAGGACGTGAAGGACGAGGACGAGGACGAGAATGACAAGGAAGAGGACGAGAAGGACTAGGAAGAGAACGAGGAGGACGAGGACGATGAGGATGAGGACGAGGACAAGGACAAGGACGAGGACGAGGACGTGGACGAGGACGAGGACGATGACGAGGAGGAGGAGGACGATGAGGACGAGGACGAGGACGAGGAGGATGAGGACGAGGACGAGGAGGACGAGGACGACGAGGACGAGGACGAAGGCAAGAAGGAGGACGAAGACGAGGAGGTGGACGAGGACGAGGACGAAGACGAGGAGGAGGACGAGGATGAGGACGAGGACGAGGACGAGGAGGCAGATGGCGAGGAGGATGACGAGGACGAGGACGTGGAGGAGGGCGAGGACGAGGACGGTGAGGGGGACGTGGAAGAGGGCGAGGACGAGGTCGAGGACGGGGAGGGGGACGGGATCGGGGACTGGGACGAGGACGTGAAGGACGAGGACGAGCACGAGGACGAGGACGAAGACGAGGACGAGGACGAGGAGGAGGAGAAGGAGGACGAGGACAAGGAGGATAAGGACGAGGACGAGGAGGACGAGAAGGCGGACGAGGAGGAGGACGAGAACGAGGACGAGGAGGACGAGGACGTGGTCAAGGACGAGGACGTGGACAAGGACGAGGACGAGGACATGGACAAGGATGAGGACGTGGACAAGGATGAGGACGTGGACAAGGACGAGGACGTGCACCAGAACGAGGATGAGGACGAGGACGAGGACGAGGAGGACGACAAGGACGAGGACAAGGACAAGGACGAGGACGTGGACAAGGACGAGGACGTGGACATCAACGACGATAAGGACGAGGACGAGGACGAGCAGGACGAGGACGAGGACTAGGACGAGGACGAGGACGAGGATGAGGATGACGATGAGGATGAGGACGAGGAGGAGCACGAGGTCGAGGACCAGGATGAGGAGGAGGACGAGGACGAGGACGAGGACGAGGAGGAGGAAGAGGACGAGGACGAGTAGGACGAAGAGGACGAGGAGGAGGAGGACGAGGACGAGAAAAAGGACGAGGACGAGGAGAACAAGAAGGAGGATGAGGACGAGCAGGACTAGGACGAGGACGAGGAGGATGAGAATGAGGTTGAGGATGAGGAGGATGAGAAGGACGAGGACGAGGACGAGGACGAGGACGAGGAAGACGAGGACGAGGACGAGGACGAGGACGAGGACGAGGACGAGGACTAGGACGAGTACGAGAACGAGTAGGACGCGGAGGAAAAGGAGGACGAGGACGAGGACGACGACGAGGACGAGGAGGATGAGGTTGAGGATGAGGTTGAGGATGAGGATGAAGAGGAGGACGAGGAGAAGCAGGAGGAGGACGAGGACTAGGACGGGGATGGCGATGAGGACGAGGACGAGGACGACAAGGACGACGATGAGGACGAAGACGAGGACGACGATGAGGACGAGGATGAGAACGAGACTGATGAGGACGAGGAGGACGAGGACGAGCACGACGACGAGGATGAGCACGAGGACGTGGACGAGGACGAGGACGAGGACGAGGACGAGGACGAGGACGAGGACGAGGACGAGGACGACGAACACGAGGACGAGGACGAGGACGAGAACGAGGACGAGGACGGGGACGAGGACTAGAACGAGGAGGATTAGGAAAAGGAGTACGAGGAGGACGAGGACGAGGACGATGATGAGGAGGAGGAGGACGGGGACGAGGATGACGAAGAGGACGAGGACAAGGACGAGGAGGAGGACGAGGACGCGGATGAGGACGAGGACGAGGACGAGGACGAGGACGAGGACGAGGACGAGACTTATCGTCCTCCTCCATCCTCGTCTCAATCTGTCCTCGTCATCGCTCCTCGTAACCTTCCTAGTCCTCGTCGTCCTTCTCGTCCTTTTGTCCTCGTCCTTGTCCTCCTTGACCTCCTCCTCGTCCTCGTCCTCGTCCTCGTCCTCGTCCTCCGTCTCGTCCTCCTCGTCCTCATCCTCCTTGTCCTCGTCCTCATCCTTCTTGTCCTCGTCCTCCTCGTCGTCGTACTCGTCCTCCTCCTCCTCGTCCTCATCCTCGTCCTCGTCAGTCCTAGTCTCGTCTCGTTCTCGTCCTCCTCCTCGTCCCCGTCCTCGTCCGCGTCCTCATCCCCGTTCGTCTCATCCTCCTTGTCATCGTCCTCATCGTCCTACTCGTCCTACTCGCTGTCCTCCTCCTGTCCTCGTCCTCGTCCTCGTCTTCGTCTCGTCCTCGTCCTCGTCCTCGTCCTCGTCCACGTCTAGTCCTCGTCCTAGTCCTGTCCTTGTTCTTGTCCTCGTCCTCATCCTCCTCCTTGTCCTCGTCCGCGTCCTCGTCCTCGTCCTCGTCCACGTCCGCGTCCGCATCCTCGTCCTCGTCCTCGTCCTCGTCCTCATCGTCATCCTCGTCCCCGTCCTCGTCCTCGTCCTCATCCTTATCCTCCTCCTCATCGTCCTCGTCCTCGTCCTCCTCGTACTCCTTTTCCTAATCCTCCTCGTTCTAGTCCTTGTCCACGTCCTTGTCCCCGTCGTCGTCCTCGTTCTCGTCCTCGTCCTCATCCTCGTGTTCGTCCTCCTCGTCCTCGTCATCATCCTCCTCCTGCTCCTCATTCGTCCTCTTCGTCCTCGTTCTCGTCCACGTCCTCGTGCTCATCCTCGTCGTCATGCTCGTCCTCGTCCTATAGCCCGTTTCATCTCGTCCTCATCGTCGTCCTCATCTTCGTCCTCATCGTCGTCCTTGTCGTCCTTGTCGTCCTCGTCCTCGTCCTCATCGACATCCCCGTCCTAGTCCTCGTCGTCCTCCTGCTCCTCCTCGTCCTCCTCTTCATCCTCCTCATCCTCAACCTTATCCTCCTCCTCCTCGTCCTCGTACTCGTCCTCCGTTTCCTCCTCATCCTACTCGTTCGTCCTCGTCCTCGTCCTCGTCCTAGTCCTGTCCTCGTAATTGTCATAATACTCGTCCTATCGTCTTCCAGTAT